CGGTAAAGCAATGCGGATTGCGGAAGTTGAAAATTTTATGAAATGACATGTTTGCGAAGTGCAAACCGCGATTTTTTAATCAAACAAAAATTTATGACATTCGAGCCGCGAGATTTCATACCTACTGAAATTATATGATATTAGAGCCGCGATATTTCAGACAAAAAAAGGACTTTTCCAGACTAGGTGGGAATGGGAAAGCTTTTCAGCTTGGGTGGAAAGCTTTTTAATAAGTGAACTTCCATTCTTAGAATTCCAGCCTGCTATGGTGCCAGACACAAAATAAAGGCATCCCGAATTACTCCTGGGAATGGAGTAATGAGCAATCCAGGATACCTACTTGAAATAAAATTCAGTTTTAAATGTTTGAAGCATGAAAAGTGTACTTATCCATTACTAACAGACTAACAGTCCTCTGAAGTCCTCCTCTAAAAGAGGACTCCTCTTCCTTTGTTTATGACAGATGTACTCCATACTAATAGGCGGTGGCGGCGTAAGAGCATATGGAAATTTTTTGGAGATGCCATATGATAGCCCTTGCAAAGACCTTTAGAATAAGCCTAAAATTGTTTATGAAATGTTTCATGGTAAGAAGTTAGTTATTAACAAAAAACGCTCAAAACCGTCCCTTTTTACCCCGTTTGACGGTACCTAGCTAGGGACGACTGAAATAACCCAGCATTGCCCAATACCAGCATAATTTTCATACTTCACCCCGTGCGCAAGCATGCTGCAGAGCAAATTAGCCAACTATGCTGGTATCCAGGATACTTTACTGGTCTACTTATAGGACTCAAAAATGAACTTGAGGCAGAGTCTAAAAAACTCTCTGCTTTGCCACTATGCTGAGCACAACGTGTCTTTCAGTAGATTCCTCTTGCTTATCCGTGAGTGACGCGCACAATTAACAATATTGGGATTTTCTCTGTGTTGCCTGACGTAACGTTCATGCCGAGGCAGATTTCTGACGACCTGCAAACCTGTTTCTAGTTGCCACTTGCCTGGAACGTTTTTTTTTTTCAAGGCGGAACGCATTTTTTTAAGTGAACCTCTAATCTTAGATTTCCACTCTGAGTACACTTTTCATGCTTCAAACATTTAAAACTGAATTTTATTTCAAGTAGGTATCCTGGATTGCTCATTACTCCATTCCCAGGACTCGCCAGGAGTAATTTGGGATGCCTTTATTTTGTGTCTGGCACCATACTAATACTATAGGCGGTGGCGTAGGAGCATATGGAAATTTTTTGGAGATGCCATACGTCTACGATAGCCCGTAGTGACAAACCAGAGATTTTTTAGAATCAGTTCATTTTTAATTTCCTCATTTACTCAAGATTTTAACCAATTTCTTAAGTATGATAATGCTGGTATGATGGTATCCATGATACTTTACATGTCTACTGATAGGACTCAAAAATGAACTTGAGACAGAGTCTAAAAAACTCTCTGCTTTGCCACTATGCGATAGCCCTTGCAAAGACCTTTAGAATGAGCCTAAAATTGTTTATGAAATGTTTCATGGTAAGAAGTTATTAACAAAAAACGCTCAAAACCGTCCCTTTTTACCCCGTTTGACGGTACCTAGCTATATCTAATCTCGGTAACGGAATGCCCGGTAATCTCAATTCTCAATGATATTAAAAACGACTCGGCACTTAAAGTGATATCAATCAGAATTCAGAAATTTAATCAATATCACGCATCATAGCATTTACCTGACAAATTCTTGTAGAAATCCATTGAAGAGGAGCTAAAATATTACAACTTTACAAGCTTTACAAAACTTACTATCTTGCCGCACATCAAATTTTTACTTCCCGTCAACGATTTTATCAAGGTAACGTTAATGTAATCCAAGGTGAAATGTACATATGACGAACTCCTGATAAGGATAATGAGATGAAATGCAATTGCAGTTAATTGTATTTGTAGTCATGCATATGAAAAATAATTTCTTGATGATTTTAAAAATATTTCTCTGATGCGGAGTTCTACAAGCATTTGAAAAACAGAACGAGAAAGAAACTATTCTCTGTGTCATGTTAATAATGAACGGATTGTATCAAATTTGAAAAATAAGTAGAATTATTTCAGATTTTTACATCAATAACTTTTTCATTAATCCGAAAAACCTAACTTTATTTTCAACTCGACCAGCCATAAATACTTCACAATGAACGGATTTCATTCAAATTTAAAAATTAAGTAGATATTATCAATAATTTGTGGACGGATTTATTTCAGATTTTCACATCGATTATTTTTTTTAATGCCACAAAATACTGAAACTTGACCTGACTAGGACCAAACCTGCGAGGTGAACGTGAAGTTAGGTTTTCCGCATTAATAAAAAAGTAATTGATGTAAAAACCTGAATTGATTCCGTCCACAAATTACTAATATTATCTACTTATTTTTCAAACGTGAACCTCGCTTAAGTGTAAAGAATGACCTTTTTGCTTAGTCATTTCATAGTACTAAATATGTCAGATATGAATTAAATAGAATATTAATCTTGCGTATAGTAATCGTAATTATTTTATAGTCGCTCCAGTAACGTACTTTCGTTTCACAAATGAAGTTACAACAATCCCGTTATTTATCACCTTTCCCTCGGAATTGTCTATAAATATTCCACTTATTTGTTCGGCTATAAAAATATACTAGTAAATTGCATCAGGCTTTGTTATGAATTGGTCACCTCAACATCTGTCCTAAAACCTTAACATATAACACCGGCAATCATTCGATAACTTCGCGGCTCGGTCCTATTGTTGTTAGAAATCATCAAGAAAGAATTCAAGAACTGCCATGTTTGTAAGCAAATTTCGAGTTTGAGCACATCATTTAACTAAAAAATCCGATTATTTATTCGTTTAAAAACTATGTAATTATGAAACGAACTGTTACAACATTTTATACGCCGCCACCTTGGCTCACAGCGTTTAAGATATTCAAAAAAGAAAACGTGAAAATGTATTCGCTCTCTGGTACTACGTCATTGACTCAGGTGAATGAAATTGTCGTTATTAGCACACCTCGGACAAATTTAGGGCTGGACTCGCGGCAGATATTCCTTGTTCATTAAATTTTGCACACCGGCCGCGATTCGGGCCGTTAAATTGTCCGAGACGTGTTATTCGCTCGTAACTTAATTGTCACGTTGTTAAGGATACAGATTTCGGTATAATTTCGTGTAAATTTAATACAGATGGTAGAATTTCAGCGTAAATATCACTACTTAAAAACAACAAAACCTCTAAAAACAAGCTGTTAAGTAGGATTTAAATGTTGAAATATCGATTCCCAACATTTTTGCTTCAGTGCTTGATCGGCATGACGTACCTTTACGTTCATATTTATAAACTGATTTCTTCTCAAATGTAGTCGAAAATATAATTAATTATTGAGCCTGATTTTTATTTGTTATTTACTTCATTTATTTCATCAACCTGAAAATTCGTACCAGAATGAAGCCGTAGTCAATGAGACAGAAATAAGCCGGTGTCATCTCACTCCCGAGCTCCCACTGCGCCTCATTACTCCACAATGCAGGTGCTGTCATTGAGTGTAATTGGTCGTTAACTGTAATTTGGGCTTTAATTTTACATTGTATTTATTCGACATAATTTTTAGATGGGCGAGAGGTTTTTTAATTTGTCTCTACTTATACTCAAGCCTGATGCATGCAATTACGTACTCTCGACTGTATAAGTTCCAGCCACTGTAACTCCACATTTATGATATTACGCTATGTAGAGGTTGCACTATCGTCTCTTCTAGCTCTATGACGAGTTGGACTGTAGTCAAGTGTTTTTCTTGTTTTTCAATATATTTAAAACTTACATCCTAATAGTGAGGCGTCCTCTAGGTCTTTATAAGATTGTCATCTAGCATTTTTGGAGCATTTGTTAACGCTTTCGTTGACATATAGATTCTCTGCCAGCAGGTTGTGGCATGCGCGAGAGGATGAACTGCCCTTCCCTGATCCATTCTGGGCCTTCTTTTGGCCAGGAGGTCAGGCTGTTGCAAGGTATCTTCAATACTTGCTAAGTCCCATATGTGAGTGGTCGCAAAAGCCGCAGAAGCGAATATAGACACCTTTTGCTGCGAGTCTTTACGCGTCGAAGCTTTCCTATCGCAGCGTACGTTTATTTACAAAAATACAAAACATTAACTAGATAGGTTTAATAGCTCGTAATTTTGCCACATTCAAAATTACGCTTATGTTTATCAAATACGTGATTATTGTACTATCGTGTCCGAAATTGAAGTATATTTAATACATGATTTCATGTTCTGCGCAGTTGGTACGGGTGCAGTAGAAAAATTTAACTCATGCACATCTGATGTTTGATGGAGCATAAAATGAACATAATCCCGTAAGGAAAAATGTGTGAATAATTGCCCGTCTGCGGACTGAGCTATTGATTTAACCCCACCATCAGACCTAACTTACTATTTAAATCTGAATACTATTATTACAAATGTATCGATTAATCATTAGGTGTCGATGATGATGTATATTCTCACTAGATATGTGCTGGACTGCCCCGGTGTGGTGAAGGGGGCCAGGGTACTGGACCTAGGGTGCGGGGGCGGCGCCGTGGGCATAGCCGCCCTCGCTGCCGCAGCAGCCAGCGTCACCTTCAACGACGTTGATCCTGGTAGGAGTTAGATGCTGTTGATGAATGTTATTGTCCGGTGTCAATCAGGCGTCTCATTCCATTCACTATAATTGAGACGTAATATTCACTAGACGTGGTAGAGATTGATGGAAAAGTACTAGACCAGAGTCAGCATAGACAACATCACGTGATAGATCATGCGATCAAGATCTCGGTAGTGGGCGGAAGACGTGATTCTATAAAAGGGCTGGGAACCTTAGTAAGGCCTGGAAGCTGACAAGTACGCCGCTGTGTAACTCGCGTTAGAGCAGTGCTTACCAAAGTGGGCGGTACCACCCCCTGGGGGCGGTGGAAAGATCTGGGGGGCAGTGAGTTTAAGTCAGAAGTTCGAACGTTTGTTTGACGATTTGTACTACTGTCAAGTTACGCCTGGCTCATCTTCGTTTCAGTGGCTTTGGAGGCAGTGGCTGAGAATCTAAAGCTCAATTTTGGTGAAGATATTTCTATGGAACGCGTCACCATGGAACAGAAGAACCTGATTACCGATCCCATCACGGAGGACTTCGCATGGGACGTCGTCTTGGTGGGCGATGTGCTCTATGATTCTGAATTCGCAGCAGAGGTGCTGGCTTGGTTAACACAAGTACGCTGCAGGCGAGTAACCAATCGTGCCGCATATTTTCGATGAAACTATCTCACTGCACAAATTACAGTTCAAGATTAATCATTCTTGCAGACTGAACACTATACCTATATCTTCAACCAACCACACGTAAATTACAAACATTTCATAACCTGCTGACATTTCTAGGCACACGAATGCTTACATTCGCTTTCAGGTTCATCAAAGTAATAATTCCTTATCGTTTTAATAGAGGCATCAAGGTTTTCCTGGGAGACCCTGGGAGGAGCAGCTTCCGGGACGTGACTGCCCGACTCAGTAACGGTGGACTACAGGAGGCCACGCGAGCTGCACCAGCAGAAATGATCACTGAATCTCTTCATCTGATCCGCGTGGGGAAATATGCCTTACGAGCGGACACAGTGTTAGAAAATAGAGGCTTTTCATCAGCGTATTGTTGGACTTTACGATAAATGCGAGCAAATCATGAAGTATCGTTTGATTGCCCTCAATTGCACAAATATATAAGAAGTTAGTACCAAAATGGTTGTAATTGGGAGCGGTTTGAACGCCGAAATACGTCACATTCCTATTTCCATGCCAATCAATTCATATTTCCATACGGATCATATTCATATTTCCATACGAATTAGATTCGTATTTCCATACGGATCACATTCATACTTCCATAAGAATTATTCATACTTCCATCAGAATTATTCATACTTCCATTCGGATCATACTTATATTTCCGCACGAATCTGATTCATATTTCCTTGCGGATCAAATTCATACTTAAAGAGTACTTCTGAAATTTTTGCCAAAATAAGAACTGCCTAAGTATTGTTCAGGGATAAATAAAAGCGATTTAATAGAAATTAATTTTAGCA